ACCACCAAAGGCCATGTTGTGTGAAACTGCTATTATTATTTTTTTAATGAAGAGAAGGTATTCATACCCAGAGAGACAGCCTTGGACGGTCCCCAGAGGTGGGAGGGAAAGGAAGAGGGGAAGCAAAAGGCTAGAGGGTGGGCAGGTGTTCACTTGGGGGAGAGGAGGGAAATAGAGGCTCAGCGGGAGATGTGAGAGAAGTCAGGGGTGGGGAAGGAAACCGGGCAAGCCATTGGGAGGTTTGGGAAGTTCTTCAGGTTGCTGAATGCAAAAATAATGACCCGATAGGTAAACCCCAACCAAATTCACAATAAAAAGAAAAATGGATTCTTTTTGTTGTTGTTTTGGATACTTGTGTTTCACTGACGATGCAAAGGCATTTGACAGAAATGTGGGTGAAGGGAGACCGCAGTCGATGCAAGACATGAAAACAATATATAAATTTTCAAGAGTTCATGAGGGAGGGGGATGGGGGGGGATGAGCTGATAGCAAGGGCTCAAGTAGAAAGAAAATGTTTTGAAAATGATGATGGCCACCTATGTACAAATGTGCTTGACACAGTGGATGGATGTGTGGATTGTGATAAGAGCTGTAAGAGCCCCCAATAAAATGATTTTTTTAATGGATTCTCCAGGGTAGAGTGATGGAAACACTACTCCCAGGGTTCAGAGATGTAGATGAAGGCCTTGCTAAGAAATGATCACTTCACATTTTGATGTCTTTGTCTAATAGACGTCTCTATGATTTGCCAGCAATCTTGTTTGATGCACCCTCCTATTTGCCTGAATTTCCAGTAAACTTTCCCTGAGCACTTGTCAGTGTTCTGTAACACCATGGATGGACACATGTATTCCTCTGTAGCATTCTCTAGCCTGGCTGCAGTCCAATTCTGCCCCGTGTGCCCCACAACACAACAGATTGGTTACCCCAATCACTGGCCAAGGCAGGTCAGTCCTGCTGGTGTAGAGGCTCAGAAATGCTCGGGCATTTGTATGGTTTTTCTCAGAAACAGCTCCCATTGCCTGCAGCAGCTAGAAAGGCCAATGTTTCTGCAAGCAAGCTGTGACCTTTCTGGAGAGCAACGTTAAACTTGAACTAGTGGGTGCTACACGTGACTTCCCCAAGCATACTATCAAAGGGCTGGAGAGGCGATGCTGAATGCTTAGCTTGTTGATGCTATTCAAGAATGTCAGTATTGATATCATAGGGATAATAGCATGACTTGAAAATAAATGTGATTAATCTTAACCTTGAGGAGGGGGAGAGGGCAGAACCATCATAAGGCAATTAATATACAGCCATCAATTAGTACTTAGCAGCTCGAAAATGGTGAGCACTTGTAACTCTGAAAATGTCACATTATTATGCCACACACACAAAACCATGCTACAAGCACAACCCTCAGTCTATTCAACGGGTTGAAGGTTAGCAGACTCCTTGGTGGAAGCAGGGATCACATCTGGTGAAACCACACATCTGCTTTCCCATGATTGTGCATACAGGCACCCCCAAAGATCCTCCACAGTCACAGCAGAAACAACAGCACCAACCGCCACCATGATGAATCCTAGTCCACAGTGTTTTTTCACCAGGCATGATCTCACTTTCACACCACTCAGACTAAGAGAGCCTAGGAAGAAAGGCCTGGCAATCTACACCTGCATATTACTTTGCAAAAGCCCCATGGGCCACAAGGACCCAGTCCACAAGGGAGGGTGAGGCTGGCTTAGCCCCGGCAGCACATCGTTGCGATGCGTTTGGGGTTGCCATAAGTTGGGAGCCTACACTGCAGTCAACCAAACAGCAATCATTTTTATTTGTTTAAAATGATCATTACAAACGAAGACTCAGGGATTTGCACAGTTCTGTGAGTAGGCGTTGGCAGACCGTGGATGAGACCCACTTTAAAATGCTGCGCGCTCTCCCTTCTGCTGACGGGCATACCAGAGTATGCCTCCTACCCTTTGCGTCCCCTATGGCACTGAGCTTGGGGCTACCGTTTAGGCCAGAGTCATTCTGTGGGAGGAACACAGGTACCAGTGGTCCTGGCAGTGCCTGTGGTGGCTTTTATTTCTCGGTCCCGCGGTCTAAACGACTGCTCTTGACACATGGCATTCATTCTAGTGTAACCGTTCACAAGAACAAATGCACATACCAAAGAACAACCGTAGCCGCATCTGATGTTCTCCTTTTCCCTCCTTCTAAAATAGCATTCTTCCGGATCAGAAAAAGAGCACGCGAGCTATAAAGAAGGACCGAGAGATGATCGGTCCAGATATAACTCATAACAAGCGGCTTAAAGCATTCCAGGTATTTTTCACGTGTGTTATTTCATGTAGAAAACAGGACGGCATTCTACATGGCATTTTCAAACTCTCTCCATAGCCCTTCATCATGAGCAGCTCTTTCTAGCTGGCAAAGGTTTGTGTTCGCAAATGCTGAAAAGATCATGCAACTGGGACTCCCAACAGTTCATGGAAAATGGAATGAAAAGTTCCGACTATGTTACCACGAGCTTTTGGAAGCGACCCAGTCTCATTTTCGGTTCTGGAGTCACGGGATATGCATCTATTTATACTTGGCATTCTGTAGCAAATGCTTGTGCCAGAAAAGGCCTCTGTGGGATGACAGAACCGGAGGAGGGATGACAGAAAAAGGGAAAAGGAAGGCGGGCTTTCTATAACTAATCAATCGATGGATTTGCCAAAGTGAGTGACAGCATTGCCTGCGGGCCGCTGGAAGATCCACACACTCGCTGCCCTGGAAACTCAGCGACTCTGTAGGGCTGGAGAGAGCGGCCTCTGTGCAGTGGGAAGACCCTCCCTGTTTAAAAGGGAAGAAATGCTCGTTTCTCCCTTGGAGCCGTGAGTGGATTCCAACTACCACCAGGGATCCTGGAAAGATCCAGGAGGGATCCAAGGAGGCTGTGAAAGCAGAAAACTACACTTTATGCTGGATTATGGGCTCTAGCATTAAAATTATTAATTGCCAGGGGGGCATGAAACAATTCCCCCCATCCCCTAAAAACAGGGTGAAATCAATGAACTTTAGGAGCATACCCTAAGTGTAACACATCACTGACCTACAGACAGACATACTAACACTGACAACTCAAACAGAAAAAAAAA